ACCCTAAACCCTAAACCCAAAATAAGCTACCCGATTTTTTTGGAAACTCCCAGGTCGAGGCTTCCGGGGTGAACCCTTCGGACACCTACCTCCGCCTCGGACCCACGGGCCCCTACGCGGCGGTGCCCCATCTGCTGCCGCCGCTCGGTCATGAGGGTTTAGGGTTTAGGGGTTTGGGGGCCTTCAGTTCTTAGTGTCGGGCCGTGGCTGTTACTTGGCTCGTGTGCTTCATGGGGGTTTCGGGCTGCCGGTTCCGGGCTTGTTGGGATGAAACCATGACGACGACGACGACGACGACTGCTCTCGCTCCGGTTACTGCTACAGGTATAAAGCTACTGGGTAGTAAGTTTGCAGCTACGGCTATGGCTGCTTTTGCCGCTACTGCTGCTCCTTCTCCTACACCTCGACGATGTTGAAGTCTCGCTTTGGAGTGGAGGTGCTCTGTGAGTTCTTGGAGCTTCGTAGCCAAGAGTGTGAAAGGTCCGAGCCCCGCAGGAAGACTCAAATAAACCTGCAGCAGGCAGCAGAAACCCTGGCATGTCCCAAGCTGTGGGGAGTAGACCCCCGAAGCTCCAAATATTATTTCAGGGGTTCCTTATCATGAATATCGTATAATGGGCCCCAAAACCCTATTCCTATTATTAAGGCCAATATATTAGTTATTAGTTCTTCATCTTTATCGCGAACTTGATTCGGCAACCTCCCAAGGACCCTGCCGTGGACACCAGGCGTCCTGCGCAGCTCGCAGTGCTCAGAGAGCCCAAAGTTGCCGTGTAACCCTCAAAAGGGATACAAGAGCATTGGGTTCTCTGGGATAGGGATTGGGGTTGGACTTGTTCGTTTGTATGGCGGTGCGCAGGCTGTCGCATTAGGCTTGAGGGTTTTTTTCACCTGCGTCTTTAGGGCTTGGGGTTAGGTGAAAATCGGCGAGGTGAGCTTAGCCTTGAAACACCTCACGGGATGATCCAAGGAAACGAGCCCAGACTTTCATGACTCCAAGAAGACCCCCAAAACTCTCAAACGAGACCGAGCATACTCTTGGGACTCTGAAGCTTTGTAAAATCCCGAGCCCCATCAACTCAGCCTGAAGAGGGCAAACCCGGAGATGGCTTGCTGACACAGGCCGCGACGGCGCTGGGATAGTGGAGGAGCCCGCGATTCCTGCCGGGATTAGTGAGGGAAAGGTTAGGGGCTACAGTAGGATCTCGGGTTTGTCATACGAGAGTGCCCCAATGACCAACGCACGAACCGACAGTGCCCACCTCTTGCGTTCACTGTCGGGGGCGATGCAATGATCGCGGACATGTACCGCCTCTATTCCTTTCATAAGCACACCCTAGATTAAGGGGCCATCAAACCACAACCCTCAGCCCGGAGCGCTAAAACCATACATCCTTAAGTCCTTAATCCGATATTCCAAACCAGAACACCGGACAATCCTCAGCCCTTGAAACTCTTCAAAAAACCGCAGCGATCGCAGACACAGGAAGCCCAAGGCCCTTTACTTGAGGCTTGTCCTACACCGTAGAGAGCGCTTCTGATGTGATACTTCTAGGTGTTTTCCCAAGTTAAGGGATATTATTGGGCTCTTTGGTTGTTCTCTCATCTGCAAGGAGGTCGCCCCCGATGTGGGGAACGTCCGCGTCGGGCAGCGTGTGCCGCTTGATTCGGCCCTAAGTTAAACGTAGGTGGCACTAGTGGGCAAGTAAACAGAGAAGTGCGTGTATAATTACTCCTCACCAAC